CTCCCAGTACAGTAGACCAGTCTGTTACAATAGGAGCTACAGTCCCAGTGCAGTAGGACGGTCAGCAGGCTCTGTGCACTGGGTGAAAGAGACTAACCCTGCACACAGGACAGGTGAAGACCAAAGCTGCCTTCGCCGCTGCCTTCTGATCGGCCCCCTGCTGCTTCTTCTTCTCTGCCTGCTTCTTGGCGTTCTTCTGCTGGGACTGAATCTTCTGCTGCCCGCGAGCCATGGCGCCCCTGCCAGGGGCAAGACAGGCAGGGAGGGAGGAGGACGGAACCGGATCAGAGAAGGTGGGGAGAAAGACAGGGAGTCAGCAGTGTGGTCATACAGCACAGGCACACACCTGTGTGACAGGCATGTGGAGGGCCAAAGAGAAGAACTACAAGCCAACAAGCACAGCAACACAGTTGTAGCATTTAGACACGAAAGCATCACAATCCCATTTAAACAGAGAGCAGACAGAACAGCATGGAGAAATACACACAGGCAGCACGCCCTCAGCACTGAAACTGGCAAATTCTCTCTCTGCCCGTGCTGCCCCCCTCCCCCTGTCTCAGTCCCCCTGGATCTCTGCTGCCATTCACACCCGGGCCACACTCTCTGACCCCAGGGCACCCAGAACACCTTCAGTATGCCAAACTGCTCATCAGCTTCACCGCTGAGCCACAAGAGCATCCAAACACGTCATTCTTAAAAACAGAATCCTTCATGATGCGATCTCCGGACCAACCTGTCAGAAATGCGCAGTAAAGATGGTCAGAAGCACGCAGCCACTGTAAACACGCGACCGAAAGGCAGCTGGAACAGCAGCAGGATGTGGTCTTGCAAGTGTTGTGTTCTAATCAAGACTGTTCCCGTTTCTGCAGGTGCACATGTACCCGATTCAAACGCTATTTCTTGTTCTCCCCTCCTGCTGCCTCTCTGCACCACTTTCTGGACCCCCTTTCAAGAGCCCATCAGTCCCCCCTCAGCCCTCAGTGCAGGAACGAGCTGCACACAGATACCAGAGCTGCTCAGGACTCGTGTGTCTGGACAGCAGCTGTGTTCTCTCAGCTCCCAGCTCCACTCTTCAGTGTCTGACACTGTTGTCCCACTGTTTTTAATTCTCAGACCGAACACGTATCGTACATTCTATGTATATACTTCGAAGGTCATTCGATTAATATTGATACTGTGAAGCATAATGTAAGTTCAGGCGCTTAAAAAGCTGACTTCATATTAGTCACGTTTTTATGACAACATTCCTAGGCAACTTGGGGCTATTGATAATAATAATAAACAATTTTATACAGCACCTTTAAAGGTGGCTTCTCAAAGTGCTTTACAGAATGACAACAATAAATAAGAAGAACACACAAGATAAAACAATTACAATCTATAGAGGAGACCGTGGAGGGGTGAAAAATGGAACCAGTTAAGTAAAGGTTTTTCTAAAGAAAAAGGTTTTGAGTCTGGATTTGAAGGAGTTCAGAGAAGGTGACTCTCTGATATCCTTGGACAGAGAGTTCCAGAGCTTGGGGGCATAACAGGAGAAGGCCCTGTCACCCCTAGAGTGTAGATGGCCTTGGGGGACAGTTAGGAGACCAGAATTAGAAGAGCAAAGGTTGCGAGGTGGGGAGTAGGGCGATAAAAGTTCAGACAGGTATTGAGGTGCCAAGCCATGCAGAGCCTCATAGGTGAGCATGAGGATTTTAAAGTCCACACGGAATTTTGTCCACGGAAGCCAATGCAAGGACTCCAGGATAGGAGTAATGTGAACACTTGCACTAGACCTGGTCAGGATTCTGGCTGCTGAATTTTGGACATACTGCAGCTTGTTCAGAGCAGATTTAGATACCCCAGCGAGTAGAGCATAACAGTAGTCAATTCGAGAGAACACAAATGTGTTGATCAGCTTTTCAGCCACAGTTAGTGATAGCATAGGGCGTAGTCTAGCGATATTTCTGAGGTGAAAAAAAAGATGTTTTGACAATATGCTGCACATGTGGGTCGAATGTTAAGCCAGAATCGAATATAACCCCAAGGTTTTTCAATTTAGATTGAAGCTCAGGTACAGAACCATCTACAGAGAGGGTTTAATGGGGCTCGAAATGCAGATTATATCACAGACAGGGTATCGGTTTAGCACGACGCGTATCTCAGAGGAAACGCTCCCCGATCTCGCAGTTTCTGTGAAGTTTCTGCCCGACAGCTGGCGGCGGAGCCGAGACTCGCCTGGGGGGCGCCGACACGGAGACAGAGGACACCCACACTGCACAGCGAAGCCCGCTCACGAACACACACACGCGGGGAATCAACACAACGACACCATGCCGCCAATCGGAGATGCCAGCGCGTCGGCAAGGAGAAGAGCCCAGAAAAAGCCAGCAGTGTCGATAAGATGTCCGGCCCGGCCTCAACAACATGGCTCTGTGCCTCTGTCTCTCTCGGCACCGCCGCCATGCAGCGCCCAGTTACAGCCTTGTTACTCACGACTTTCACCCCAGGGCGGTTTAAGGAACTCTCCAGTCTGCTTACGGACGCATTTCTTAAAAAAAAACAGTTGAGGAAAACTAAAAAATCAAACCGTTTTTATTCGTTACCTTCGCGAATCGCTCTTCCTCGCTCTCGCTCTTTCTCAACCTCTCTTCCTCTGGAGCCACCAGAGAGAGGCGCCGGATAGAGCGGCCCTTCGCGCCGAGACGGAGTGCTCTTTGCGCGGTTAGAGTGCCCCCCGCAGGATCGGAGGAGAAAGGCACACCAATAGGAATTGGCAATAAATTAGTCACGCAATTACGTTTCAGTCTCAAACATAATTAAAGTAATTTATTTTCCACAACTGTGTAGAAAAATAAAACAGTTGGACCCAGAACACATATTAACAATTCCAGCAATATAACTTTTACTCATGCAGTGACCTATGTCCAAAGGTTTGTGAGCTTCATACACTTAAATGGAACTCTTTGTTTTGTAAAATGTAAATCAAATTATAATTAACATGACACTGTCCATTTTTTGCTTCTTAAATGAAAAAGAAACTGATAATTGAAGGTAATGGGAATGACAGAAACATTGTCATGTTGAGTCTCAAATCGTATTTGCTCACCAGGTTGTGGTGCTGTTTACTGAACAATCACCCCAGCAGGTGCTGGTTTAGAGTTTCTAGTAACAGATTTAAACATCATAGAGAACTATCCCAGTGTGTGATTCCATAGGCACCTCTCATCCCAGTGTGTGTGATTCCATAGGCACCTCTCATCCCTGTGTGTGATTCCATAGGCACCTCTCATCCC